AGAGAGAGAGAGAGAGAGAGAGAGAGAGAGAGAGAGAGAGAGAGAGAGAGAGAGAGAGAGAGAGAGAGAGAGAGAGAGAGAGAGAGGGTGAAAAGAACCACAGACAGCAGTGAGCGTAACATGTAATCCTGAGGTAGGGACCAAAAGGAATTCCAAGGCATGCAGTCAACAAGCAGAAAGCAGGAGTGGTTTTAGGGCCTTTTGAGACATGGGGAGAAGAATCTGCAGGCAACAGAGACCAGGGAAGGCAGGAGTGGTACGCAGTTTTCAAGGACAGGGATGAAAAATTAAAAGAATGTCAACACACAGAGGAGAGAGAGAGGCCATACCAGGGAGACAACAGAGGATGAGCAGCGCCAGACCGAACCAGAAAAGGAACACAGAGGAGAGGAATCGTGAAGGGAGCCACCGAAGAGGAGGAGAGAGAGCAAAGGAAAAATGAAGGTACGTAGGGAAGCAAAAGAAAAATTCTGGGTAGCACATGCAGCAGTCAGGTGGTGGAAGGGACAAAGAGAGGGAGCGGCACAAGCACGATGCCAACCTGTTGTGCTAAGATCTTCCGAATGACATCTGGATCTGAGTGAGGCTTCGCATCCACATTAGAAATGACTGGAATACGTGGAGCCGTGATCGTTGTTGATGACAATGCTTCTGTAAGTTTCTCCACAGCAGGAGCCATATAATGAGTGTGAAAAGCACCTGCAACTGCCAGCCTCACCTGAAATTCCATACGCACAAGCGCCCTCTTCAAATAAGTAGCTGTGACACACCCATACGAGTGACCAACAACAAGGAATCACCCACAAACCAACGACCACAAAAGGACAGCTTGACCCGCACATAAAGTTGCGCAGTAGACAGATCTCAACTGATTGTTAGATAAAACCAGCGGTCCAACATTCTATTCTAGGCCTCAAACATTACTGGAGATACACACAATAGCCCTAACGAAAAAACGAAAGATCCCACATCCTACTTCAGGCCCCATGCCCTACATGGGGCTCTCATGCACACACTCACGAGGCCTTAGAAAGGGGATTTAGCGAGGAGGCAGAAGCCAAGAAGTCAAGTCTGCAAAAGCGCAGAACAAAGAACACAATGGGGGGGGGGTGTAGTAGCCGCCAAGGCAGCCCTCGTACAGACAAGACATAAGTTGCCTGCATTGCAAGCCTTGCCATCAAGCAAATGCAGAAATTCGCCTGCAGAAAGGAGCTACTTTTTTCGTAGTCGAAACAGAGAAAAGAAGGTCCCGCCTCACTATTGTGATGACACAATTCTTCTTGTCCAGCCACTCACCCAGAAGCTGGTGAAGATGATGTGCGGTACTCAGACCTGTCACATTGTTTCTGTCCATGCCCAGCTGATGTGCAAGGGGGGAAACATAGATCTACAGCACTGAAAAAAAAAAATGCTTACCGTCATCCTCGCTCCAAACTCCTTTGCTTTCTTCTCAATAATCTCACATGCTTTCGATGATCCAGACACAGCATAGTTACCCTGCGACGAAATAAAAGAAAACAAAGACAACTCCCAAAATCATCAAGACTGAACCCCAAAAACCCTGGACACCGCAAGCAATGGATGACATGAAAATCAACCCTCATCTGCTTTTCTTCTCAGAAAACTCTCATGCTTTTGAAGACCCAGACTCGGCTTCGTTACCTGATGACGACACAGGACGAGGACACAAGCACGACACTCAAAAGCATGATTTAAGGAACCCTGCACCCCCGCAAGCTATGGCTGAAGCCTGAAACCCATCGAGTCAATTTCTTCCTAAACGGAGGCATGCTGACCCTACGGTGGTGACAAAAGGAAGCAAAGAAGAAGAAAACACGCGACAATGTGAGAGCCTTGAAAGCCCTGAACCCAATAACCCATTGACAAGAATGGAGCCCACTTCTCAGAGAAAACTAAGGAGTGATGTTTCACAAAGAGTATCTGTTTCTCAAGACAACAAAAGACTTCAGGGATGGTCTGCATCAACAAAAGCAAAATTCCATCACACCAAACATGAAAAAGCTTTCATGTTGGAACTTTTCATCTTATTAATATATTCACCAAACAGGAAACATACCTGCAGCAAACATTTCACCAAAGATCGCAAATTGTTGAAAATGGCAAGCGCAAAGCTGTCCTTGCTGTTCAATTCGCAGAAAAGAAAAGTCAAAGATGCATATGCATGCTTCGACATCCCACTTACAGGGCACAAGAAGTTGGCAATCTGGACAGTATTGTCGTTTCCCGCCTCCCCAGTCGCCACCTCGCACAGCTCTCTCACTTTCTCTTTGTCTAATCCGATAACAGAAACCATTGCAGTGGGGGCAGCATCCGCAGCAGCCTGTACAGCAGAATCGAAAACATCTCAAAACCTGGACTCCCTGTGGCTCATACTCCAGAGTACAATTCAACCCAAAGTTAACCATGAAAGAGATGTTTGAAACATACAGCTCTGGCCAAGATGATCAAATCGCTCTAATTGGGTCTTTTTTAGTTTTGTTAAACAGATTTGTTTCTGAGAGTTTGCAATTTGGCGCTCAGAGATGTGTGCTTGTGTCCGCGCAGAGAGAGGGGGGGAAGAGGGAGGGCGCGGGGGGGGGGAGGGGGAGAGGGCGGGGGCGGGGGAAGAGGGGGGGCCACCAACTGATCGACCAAGACCAGCTGACCACGTGACTCGCAGCCTGGCCGCCAACCCGCCCGACAGACAGAGGCTGCCCGAGATAGACAGACCAGGGACACAGAGAGACAGAGGGAGACAGAGAGAGAAAGAGACACCAAGAGATAGAGAGAGAAAGAGAGACAGAGAGAGGGAGACAGAGAGAGGGAGACAGAGAGAGGGAGAGAGAGGGAGAGAGAGAAAGAGA